TTTCACGCATGTTTTGGTCCCATGACTGGTTCAGGTATTGCACTAAGCATCACTGCATTTCTCGTTATTGATATGCATACTTCTTATTAACCGGTTTGTGTAGTTTTTTCTCACCGTTTTAGTTTTTATGGGCGCTTATGGAGCCATTTAAGCAGGCCAAAACTTTTGGTAACTCCGCTATTGTTGGCTCCAAAACCGAATAAGGAAATAGGAGGGTTGGGGACCGTGGCGAGGTCTCCCGTATATCTTAGCCACCTACCAATCATGGTTTGTCGTTATCGAATATTACATATGCTCAGTCGTAGCCCCGGGTTCTCAACAATCGAGCAGGCTGTTGGGGAACTGAAGCAAACTGCGAAAAGTCGGCGACCAGAACCTGCTTCTGGCAATCGGGGGCATAGCAGCACGGCGATGACTGTTGAAGATGACGAATATACCATTCAGCAATTGAGCCGCTACCGTTCTGAACGGAGGAGGCACACAGCGCAACACCATGGTAACACGTCAAATAAAGTTCCGAGGAAACGATACCGACAGTTGGAGCTAACAGTTGTAAATTGGAACATCATCTCACTGAGGCCGTTTCATAGTTTGACTCTCATCAGTGAAGCGAAAAGACTGGAATCTGAACATCTGAGGGTAAAAACAATTTTACTCAGGTGTCAATATGACGACTCGAGCTCAGACCGGTATCGGTGCTCCGGCAGAGGCCAGCCTGGCACACATAATTATTGAATAGAGGCTGGTAAGCTTAGGACTGGCAATCCTCTGACTGAAGCTACAACAGGATAAAGTTTTGACCTTGTTACAGATGTATGCAAGCAATCTAGAGGGTGAATATGAGTTCTTTCTGGAAGAAGTAGAAGTTGCTCTGTGCGAAGTGCCAACTACAAAATCCACTGATACAATTCTAAAGGACGATTTCAGCGCGCACATAGAAGCAGACACCGGTAAGTGGAAAGCCGTGATTGGAAAGAATGACCTTAGCTACCACAACAACAAGGGCATGAAGTTGCTGTAGTTTTGTGTAAACAACAGACTACCTGTTATGAACACTTTCTTCGAGCATCGAAATGTGCATTAGTATGCTTAATATAGGGAAGTCTGTGCAACAGAAGTCGATGATCGATTAAATAATGACGCTCGGTTGTGGACATTCGTGTTATAAGAGAAGCAGAATTATCAATCGATCATCAGATTGTTGCTGGCATCCTCAGCTGCAAGCGATGGAATACCTTGCGAACACCTGGCGGCAGAAGCAACCAGAGAATCAAATGGGAAGCATTATCATCTGCGGATACGAAACTAACAACTGTCTGAAAAGATCTGTGATGACGTTAATGGAAGCTTTTTAAGAGTGGCCGTCGAATGCTGCGATTTAAAATGGGTTGGTCTGTCCTCTGAGTGCCAGAAACGAACTTCCTGGTGGACGTTTAAGAATAAAGTGACTCTCAGCGCGAAGAAGGCTGTTTACCTTGCACGTATGGCATCGTGCTTGAACGTTGACAATCAGAGTTGAACGATCTACACAGTTGTGATTTTATCCCTAATCAGTTATCAATCATCTTTTTGATGTATGAGATCCCATGCAACTTTGGAAAATAAGTGCATGTTTGTAAGGTACAAGTGGGCTGATAAAAGTTATAAGATTTAGTAGACCTATTGTGTGGCGACAGCACGTTTTCTTACCATACGTGTCGTTTATAATAATTTTCATTTGACCAGTTAATCGAAAATGACATATCGATATGCTTCTGTAATGACCTTTGAACCACACTGGTAGTTCCGTAGAATATTTCTGCATTAGACCTGTGAGAAAGGTGTTAATCATAGGCTTCGCCAGTTCGCATAAACTCGAACGCGTTTCTCTTAGGTCAGAATCGATCTCTGTCGACCCGCACGTATAATTCATAGAGGTTGCGCGTCGAAAGCAGTAACAAACAACACTATATGAACGAATTATTCGTTTGATTCATGGCTCCGATAGTGTCTAATCGGAGTCTCAAATACTGTTTAGCAATAGCACAGATGCGTGGAAAGAAATGCATGTAAATTGCGAAAACTCATAGAAAAAAGTTAACATCTGGGGCAAGCACTATGGTACGAATCCATCTTGATGAAGACTAAAACTGCAGCTGGCTTGAAGCCAGATTTTAACCTGAAATATTGTAAATGATAATTTACACTTCATTTTTGCATCTTGATTCCTTGGTATAAAAATGGTAACTGCGAACCGAAGGTTCGCTTATGTCTACTAAACAAAAGAGATCTAATGACAGCTAGAAGAATGGGGCTAAGTGATAACGTTAGAAACTTCGATACTGTTCATCAAACCGAAACATGTTCAATCCTTAATCTGGCCAGTTGTTCAATATCGGTGGGAAACCTTGACCTTCAGTAATGCGAACATGAAACTAGCGAACTGTTTGAAGCTTGGTGTTACAAGCGACGGCTGCGAATCTCTAGAAGGATCTCAATACCAACTGCAGTAACGTAGAACTCAGTGTTTACTCTCACGAGTTCCTAATTATTGCTGTTATGATGGCTGCACCTGTACTGGTCTCCAGCGATGGCAGCAGTTAAACAGTCAGTTAATTAGTGAGCCGTATCCAGAAAACGATGTGGTCCATTTTATGATTTGCTTCAGGGAGACGGATACGAAAGCCGTGACGGAACTGCATAGCAAACTTTAAAAGACAGTATGGTAAATCCGTTTGGTACGCGATCAGTGCTTCACACATTTAAGACTAGCAGGTGAAGTACTGTTTTGATAGGTATAATAGAATACGTCAGCAGCTCAAGCGGTATAAAACTGGAACCAGTTACAATACCGCTTTAAAGTTTGCCGATATCATCCGTGACGTCGGTCGGCGTAGAGGTAGACGCATCATCTCCACGATCTGAGTAAAAGGTGCTGCAGTGTTTTCAGTTTTGGCATGACACCGTGGTAGCAAAATTCTAAGTATATTCGTTGTGTTCTACCTACTTGCACGAAATAGCAAGAACCGAATTTTGAATGAACTTCCATTCTAGTTTTTGATCGGCGCTGCATTAAGACGTCGTTTTACTCGAATTGCATCTTCTGACCGAAGTTATTCACCTCTCTTCCTCTGTGTAATGAAGCAAACACTATGGCATTATGAGCAGACAGTGCGAAAGTTTGCCCTATACCATCATCCTCATCTGTGGCAGGGTGAGTGGGTAAATACCGAAGTAAATGATCGCAAAATTGGACAAAGCACGGCGGAGTAAATAATTTTGAGTAACGGCAGTAACCGCGAAGGTTTGTCATGAATCCCGGGAAAGTCGCGAAGTGGTAGTTGAGGTGCAAAGCTTCTCATGTTTTTGTGCAGATCTGTAAAAAAACACTGACTACAAATCTTAATGGAAAGTTGGAATGCCACTACACGCATTACTTGAAGACCCACCGTTATAAGCGCTATATTTCTCTGTTTCTTTTACCCTGGGAACAGGGGATGACGATTCATTGACAAGATGAATGAGCGTGAGATAAGTAGTTTTTATGAACGATATCAAGAAATTTCAAATGGCGAATGACTCTTCCAAGACAGGTTTCAAGACGTATTGTATCGTCCCGTTGCTCCTCGTTGTCTAGAGGGCCATTTAAGCAGGCCACGGCTACATGGTACTTGAGCACTTGCAGTGCTGGAGCAAGGAACGATGAAATACGTCGTGAAATCTGGATTGGAAGGAATCATTCGTTATTTTAAACACTCAAGCGTGTGAAAAGTTTATGATGGCGAGGAAACTTACCTCGCCACTTGAACGCAAAAACATGCGAGAGCTGGCATAGCAATACCTACCTATGTATCATGTTGTGCGAAAGATGCTCGAGGCTTATCGATTTCATGTGAAGGGGCAGCGACTGCCCTGAAAGACTAATGCCAAACTTTAGTTCAGGATCGAGACAGACATGAAGAGCAAGATGACTCTGAAGAAACGAAGTCGAACAGAGGATGGAGCTGAATGAGCGTCGCTGACAGCCAAGGATGGCACTAGACTGATATAACGCGCAATTTCACATCAATTTTATTCTCAGAACAAGGGATGGCAGTGACTGGAATGCAAGACGAGGACCATTGACCGTTTTCAGGATCTGCTAGGGCTAGAATTCCTTACGGAAAAACTAATGCTCGAAAATCGATGTAGTCTCTAGCCGTGCGGCAGGGCCCATTGCTTGTGATGGTGCAGTCAACTGCTCGAATATTTTTGTTTCATGCTTGGTACGGAGTCCAAACAGTGCTTGTGATTATTTGACAAATGTCTCTTCCCCTTCCCTACACATCTGCCACCATTTCTCAGGATGTTTACAACCAATAACGGAAATCAATATAAAAAACCGAGCAGTCAACGCCACCAATATAAAAAACGCCACAAACTATTTTCGTAAAGTCATGTCGCCTGTTGTTTGCGCGCTAGTCAAGAAATCCATGCAGTTCTTATTTATCGCCGGCCCTGCAGCTGCGTTTCAAACTAGCCTCGCCTTCGCCTACCAATGACCGTTCGGTCAGTGCGAATAACCAGTGGTGATTCTGCTGGGCCGTACTGGACGAAAGATGTTGAAAGTGTGCCTATAGATAGGGAGCCAATAGTTTTCAGAATTTTCTTGATTGATTCGCTTCTACGTTTCTAAGACAGAAGTCTTGTAACATTTTCACTAAAGTAGCAACCTGTAGGTGCCAGCTGTGCGTTTGTCATTGCAGTTCGTGCTACTGCAAATCCTGAATGGTTCGAGTCGGGCAAATAGATTTTGTTCAAATCGATGTGTAATCGGGAAACAGTGCTTTTTATGTATTTTACGGGAAAAACAATTTGGAGTAATGAAGTGGCAGGGCAAAACGGCTGTTGTAATAGATCGCCGTGAAAAAACTACTTCACAAGAGATTTCAGATTATTAGCAGGTCACTGTGTTTGATTCGTTAAATTGCAGATCATCGTAGCGCATTCTGAGTTACACTCGTGCCTCGGCAATTATATCATCAGGTCGCTTGCAGCCGCACAAGCACACGATAATCAGGTGTACTTACGATTTCGGCGATCCTCAAACATGCCGGCACCGTACAGCAGTAATCGATGTTCAGGCTTCGTTTTATTCCGTCGTCCTCGTCTACAGCAATGTACGTCTTCACCTGCCCATTTTGCATCTGTCTGACAGAGCACTGCTTTTTCTCGTTCGCCATATCAACTGCCACCTACAACAAATGAGAAACAGTCAAAGCAACGCGACTACCGTTTAGCTGACGCCAATCTGCTGCGCGAAATCCGTAGTATTGGGCTCGGCTCGGCTCGGCTCGACTCGCATCGCCTCTTTGCATGATTTGTCGCTCGTCCGTCGTATACTCGGCAAGTTAGCTGCTGACCTCGCCGCTCGTTGGTTGATGCAACCTCATGAGTGCCAGCTGCGGCGCATCCGCGCAGTTAGCAGCAGCGACAACGGCCGGATGGGAGGCGGTATATTGTGTACGTCGCGTCGTGTCGTGTCGCGTCGCGTCGCGCCGCACGACGCTGCTCTGTGTGCATGTTTGTTAAGTGGAACAGTGCACTCGCCTTCGAGCCGAATTCACCGTTTCTCATGATTCCGGCTATCGTGAGATATTGAACGGTGATTAATATGCCTCATTCAAGGGCGTGCATACGAACGTGGTGGAGTCGGCGTGAGCGACCTGCCGACCAGCCACCACCTGTCCTGTCACCGCTGACCGACTATACTGCGACAGTCAGGCAGACAGATTGCGTTGCTCCTCAGCTGCAAACGATCGTCATTGCCTCCGTTCTACTCTGCGCATCTCAACTCAAACCGATTCTCTTGGATCATCCTTCAGGCGAGTTTACAAGCCCTTATCCTTGCTATTGTCAGCTGTCGAGTAAAACTTTCAGCTTTGCGACATATCGCCGCTAGAAAGCTGTAGAATAAGACGTCTGTGATGTATGTGGTATAACCTATTTTCGTCCTTACTTTCCGAGAAGTATGATTGGTTGAGGAAAAAATCTGTTCCGGGTGAAACAAATAATGAAACACATATGTAACATCGCTAAATGAAGCCTGCAATGAGATCTGATTTCAATAATGGCTCGTTATCCCAGTGATGCCTCTGCGTAAGGGCTTGCTTGCAAGTAGTTTACATAGTGAAACGGGCGACTACCAATTCTGTAGAGATTCATAATACCAGCGATGTTAGTTTTACCATTAAAACGTTAATTTTGCTAAAACCTTCTAGACTTTAATTTCGCTTTCGAAAGTTTGCAACTCGGTATCGATAAAAAATGTGCACTACTTGCTATCTTAGTTTTCTTGTTCGTCCGTTGCTTAAAAAACATCAACTTGGATTAACTCTTGCACTCAGTTAGCTAATTGCGATGACTGCTCACCCCTTCGGGTCGTGGAGGTATACATGTCAAGCAGTGTCTCCGTTTCTGATTTATTGCCAGCATTTCAGCGTAGGCAGAAGATTACCCGAGTATGGAGCAGAATCTGGCACGACATTTAACCCAGGTCATTCTTGGCCATAGCTGAGGTCTTCAGCCGGTCATATGAGAAAGTAGTAGCTGTTTTGCTTTTCTTTCTGAACACATTGTCAGAACTGCCCAAACCATTGCATCTCTAAGTTCTCAATTTGGAGAAGCAGTGAGTGTGCATTAAGGCTCTCTGGGATATCTAAAATATGGGCAGTGTCAAAGCGCATGATCCCAGGGATTCGTCTCAAAAAGCCCATTTCAACCACATTTGACCATTTAAAACCGTGTCTGACCATTTTAGCAAGTCAGATAAATGTTTTCAACCATTATTTTCTTCAGACAAACCCTGAAAATTTCGTAAGTATTTTTATTCTCAATGTTTTGGCAACTCTGAAGCTTTTCAGCATACTACTGTGGTTTGTGACAATTATCAACTATCTAACAATTATTGAACTGATTGTCTGAATATCGTATCTGCTAGTCTGATGATCAGTGATACTCAAATTGATATTCATCAACTGTAAAATTGTCAACTTTTCATCTCCTAAAGGATGTCATACTTTTGCTCTTTGCTTATCGTACTTTAGTTACACAATAATTTTCTAATTGTAACAGATTTATTTAATTCAAATAATATAATAAATGCACTAAAACAGATTGCTTAGCGAATACTCGATAGCTATTATTCCTCTGGGCACTAAAGCATAATAAACCAAAGATAATAAACTCTTTTTCTTTTAAAAATAAACCATTTAATTAATTTAGCTTCGGGACCGAACCATGCGCCTGGACATTAATATGGCGAGGAACT